ACTGCAGTATTGGTTCCTGATTTTGTTTTTTGTGTTTTTTATGTTTCTTCCAGTATTTCTTCTTCTTCTTATGCTTCTTGTCTTTTTTCCTTTTCTTTGTATCCCCTTCATCATAGGAATCGCTTCCCCACTTTGCCTTTTTTTGTGCCTCTTCCTTTTTGGAAATATCTTCATCGCTATCAGAGGAGCTACTGTCCTTTTTATGTTTTTTTGATTTTTCTCTATCAGTTTCATCAGAACTATCTTGTTTTCTCTTTTTTTTAGTGGGAACGTCACTGTCACTAGAATACTTCTTTGACTTTTTTCCTTTTTCTGAACTGACTGACTTGCGCTTCTTCTTCATTCTCTTCCCTTCTTCAGAGTCGAAGCTCTGATGTATTTTTATTGCTACCTTCTCCTCACTACTGTCACGTTTCTTCTTTTCCTTTTTCATCTCCAGCTCTCTAGAAGATCAGTCATCATCATCCTTCCACAGTAGACCTATTTCAAAGTGATTTCCATTTCGATTAATGGTATTTTCCATTTTTCTCAACGCCCTATCATCTTCTTTAGATCTGCCATTTTCTTCCGGGCTTCTTATGCCAAAATTGTCAATTTTGAACGAGTCTCTCACTAGATTGTGAATATCTTCATCAATTCGTTCTTGAGACTTACAACAAACGTGAAATATTAAAGACGATTCATCAGCAACTTTTCCCTGGGGGTATCTGCCATGTAGTACCCATCCCAGTAGAGTTTTTGATACAAACGGTAAATTTCAGTAACTTTAATATATTTTCCTTGCAATATTCAAAGCACATTGATCCTGACCAATAATAATTTTTGTTGTGCATCATAAAAAGAAAGTACAGGTGCTTCTCTGATGTATGGATAGATTCTACTCAGGTATTCGACATCAATGGTTTGTCTTGGAAGTGAGAGTCCACTTACAGTTCGAACTTCATTCATTTTGTACATTCTTGAGTTATTTTCCATTGAAGATACCTCTACATTGTTAAGCCACTGATAGCAGAGTGACTCAACCGGTCCATCCAGTCCTAATTCATGGTCAATTTTGCTGTCTATCATTGTTGTCGTAGCTGCCTCGTCTAGTACAGCAAAGGTAGAAATTTCTTTTTTAGGTCCTCGAAGTTTCACCGGAATTATTCGAAGGATTGTGGGGTTATCTCGTCGGCTCTCCTCTCAATTTCGGCTCTCCTTCTCTCTACTTCGGCCAATTTTCTTGTTTCTTCCAATTCAATTTCTAACATTCGTCGTCTAGAACTTGAAGATTTCGTAATTTTTGATTTGTCTTCGGCATTAGATGCGTCTTCTAATGAAGAACGTTTCTGAAACTCCGAAACTTGTCGTGGGTCATAACATACGTCGCTATATCTTTCAGGAGGAACTCCTTTAGTTTTCCTCTCTCTCCCCCTCAGGTTAGGCATGGACATATTGTAATTGATTACTTTTGGTTCTTTTTCTTTTGCTTGAAGGACCAATGTTCGAACTAGTCAGTTCTACTGTGAATTCCTTTGATTAAAAGTCGAAATAAACCAGGAATCAAACGTTTCGAGTCAATATCTTTATTTTTTAACTTTTCAAATTATTGTCAATGTCAATGTTATAAACAAACCATGATCAATTATTTTAACATACTAAGTGAACAAAAGTTAACAAAATCAATTAAAGCAACAACAATCAGTTTGGGACCCCACAATTCTGATGAAGATGTACCAATTACTGTTTTATTCACTGATTTGATATGATAATAATGATAATAATAAAGGTGCAGAAGGTGCAGACTGTCACCTGTTCTTCCATCTAACCCGATACAGACTACTAAATGTAAAGTCAAAACAAACATAAAAAACATTGATTACTTTTCAATGAATTTACGTTACAAGGAATATAAACATTGCTATCACCAAATTAATAAATCTCAGATTAAATTGAAGATAAAAACTAGTCAAGGAAACATAAATAAGTAATTGTTTCAACATTGTTGATGCTAAACTATAATTTTCATTTCGTACTGGAGATGCAGAGTGAGCATTTTTTCATTATTAGAAAAAAATAAACAATAGAAATTGAAAATTACATCAGAGCGTAATATTATCTTATTGTACAAATTGGGAGGGTTTTAGTATTTTAAAACTTTCTAAAAGAAGCAAGCAGAATGAAGGAACCTTCGATCGTTCATATTAAGTCAAGTTGTTAGTTCTCAATGTATATGAAATCCTATGATATTTTCTGATAACATCGATTAACCTCAAGCAAAAATTTTGGAACTTTTGAATGCAACTGTCACATAGTAAACTCTTAATCATTTTATTCAACAACTGTTTATTTCGATAAATCAGTTTGAGATTACAGTATGCTTTTTGTAAACTTGTACTGATATGATAAGAAAATCGCATTTCTTGGTCAATCCACAAACCAAGATCCTCGAAAGTCTTAAAGCTCCAATCTGAATGCTGCCAAAGTTGTTTGCAATACATTCTTTTCTTGCGTTCTTTCTACCAAAAACGATTGCAACTGTTTTATTTGAGTTCAGTTTTAGGCACTAATTCATACAAAATTGCTCAAGATTATAGAGATCAAAATTCAAAGCACACATAGCCTGAGAGTACTCTTCAGGTTTCAACGACAAATATAATTGTGTGATAGGAAGGACTTAGGAAAGTTGCAAGAATATAGACTGAAGAGTGGGGGCCCTAATACTGACCCTTGTGGTCATCAATTGTTTGAAAATTCAGAAACTTTTCCACCATATAGTACTGCCTGAGTTCTATCGCTTATAAAGCGGGATAAAAGTTTGAAGGCTTATCTGCTGATCCCTACAAAATTAAAAATGGCTTGTAACAATCTGTGATTGAGAGTATCAAATGGCTCAGAATAATCTAGTGATATCAAAACAAATACTTTCCATTTATCCTTTAGAAGAGCAGAAGTGCAGCTATGATCTGACCTAAAACCAGATTGGTTATTTTGAATGATATGATAGATAGCTCGTACTGGAACTGGAATCTATTGAAAATAATTTCCTAACGTCAGAACAAAATACGGTCTCTCGACGCGTTTCGCTAACCAAGTTAGCGTCCTCAGGAAATCATTATGACTGTCATAATGATCCTGGAATTCAGAGCATTCATACATATTTTAAAGTTCATTCAATCATAATTACAGTTTCGCTCGNGAAAAGAATTACAGCGCCACAAATGGGAACTGCTATAGTTGCTGCTCTAAACCAAACATCTGCTTCCGAGTACAAAAAAGTCTCCTTTTGCTGATATCTGGTTTCTGTTACTTGAGTTACATCATCTGGAAAATGAAATATAAATATCAGATGTGACCACTGTAAAGGTTCATCCTTTACTTGATAGTAGGTGATATAATATTAAATTGTATCAAAAGTTGAGTCCGTGTTTATGAATCTACTTTGAAATGTAATATCTCAGTGAATTCTTATTTAATTTAACGCAACGTGTTAGGAATCACACGTTCAAAGGTAAGATCTCGTTAGTCCTTTGCTCCCACAAGTTTCGACTTCTGAGGGTTGTCGTTCGTAGGAGTGCGACAACTGGTTAACGGAAAAACAGATTTTTAAACAGATTTAAACAAGTCGATTGATTTCGTCACCATAAACAGTTATCGAAGTGCTTGTAAAGATGGTAGTTCGTTGGCAAGAGGCCAGAGGAGTAAGGTTAGCAAGGCAGAACTTCTACGCTCAATTCGTTTAATTTTTGTACGATAATTCGTGAACGTGCGGACGGGCGTGGTCGAGGAGCAGAATCGGACCTCTTCTGTTGCCAAGTGCCGGATGCTGCTTGCACAATTTTCAATCAACTCTGCTATGATGGTTTGGCCCGGTTAAAAGTCGTTCTCCAAATGAAAGAGTTCTTAAACAGTGAAGTTCGAGGTGTACTAAGTTGAATCTCAAAACAATGAGTGGCAACAGTCCGTCGCATATTTCTGATATGTATCGCTCTTGGTGGAATCAAATGTGACAAGTCACTTGAACCTTTCATCGATGTTCCAGACTATCAAGGTTGAAAGTGATGTTGGCGTCTCCAATCAGGCGGATGACTCTTTTCTGGATGGCATCCAGCAGCTTCAGGGTAT